GACCCTTCTTTTTCTGAAGAAGGGTCTAGGCCCGAAACGTCAACCTTCCTGCTCCTCTGATGCTGCTTGGCCTGCTGTGTTCATCCAGCTCTACACCTTGTTATCTCAGATTCTCCAGCATCTGCAGTTCCTACTATCTCAGTCTAGCAGTTATATCCTTTAGGAGCTGGCCAGCTTAAACCCCCACCCAGAATATCTTTGCCACCCTCAACATGGAGAAGTATTGATTCATCAGCTGAAGGAACACGGTACATGGTAATCAGCAGGATATTTCCTTGCCCATGGTTAACCTGAAGCCATGAGACCACCTTAGATAAGGTGTAGTCATATATGTTTACCTTGATCGCCCTACTTTTATATTCCATTTACTTTGAATTAAAGATCAGCATTCCATTTGCCTTCCCTATTACCTGTTGAAGTTAGATACTAGCTTTTGTGATTCATGATTGAGGACCCCCAGAATCCCACTGCAGTTTTCTGCAGTCTTTCCCCGTTTAAAGAATATTCAGCTTTTCTATTCTCCCTGACAAATGCATACACGTGCCTTTACATATGTTATATTCCATCTGCCCGCCCACTCACTTACCCTGTCTACATTCCTCTTTGGACTTTTTGTGCCTCCCTCACTATTTGCCTTCTCACCTATTTTTGTATCATGTGCAAACTTGGTGATTTCCCTCATCCAAATCATTAATATATATTGTAAATAATTGTGGCCCAGGATTGATCCATGTGACAATCCACCAGTTTCAAGTTGCCATCTTGAAAATTCCCCCTTTATAAGTGAATATAAATCCAATCGATTGTAAAGAGTTAAATGTCTGAACTCACTAAATAGATCATTCAGATTAGATTGATAATGAGCTGGAACGTGCATTCCTTTAGCTTCCTCCTGACCTCATAGCAAGTAATAAGTTCTGTTGAATGTGCAAGACTGTTGCTCCTTATAAGAATATTACTGCGGTGAGATCCTGAGACCACCTTTAGATGAGTTTCTTGCTGTTCCAGTTTTTCAGTTAGCCTTTTATAAAAAAAAAAAGGTAAATGTTATTTGGCAAGTAGTTGTGCTAATTGAGCTTAATAGACCCTTAAATGTTGCACCTTGGAATCATTTAAAAAGAATGGCGTAAAATGTATGCTGAATAGAATGAGTTATGTCTGTTTTGCAGAGTGGGATTTTTTTGGTACACCCATTGATACTATTCAGCAATCTCTCCTGCCAAGATGGGTGCAATCCAACAACACTCGAGATGCTCATTGGCATCCAAGACAGCAGCCCACTTGATCAGCTTCTCACTCATCACTTAAATCTTTCCTTGCCATATTTATCAGTGATTTAAATAATCAGATAGAAAGTAAAAGCAAGTTTTCTGATGACACTAATAATAGCATTGTAAACAGTAGGAGTATGAAATTGCAAAGAAAAATTAATACATTAATTGTACGGTTAAGACTGGGCAAATTGGTTTCATGATGGGTAAATATGATTGCTTAAACCTAAAAGAGTTGGACAAAGATGTTTTCTAAATGGCAAAAAGGTAGAAACAGTGGAGATCTAAATAATCTTGGAAGTTGATGGACAGGCACTGAAAATAATCAAAGACTATAGGAAAGTGAGACTTTTTAATTTGGACGCTTAGAATGCAAGAGGCTTGAAACTATGCTATAGGTATACATAGCTTTGATTAGAGCATATTTGGGAGTACTGTGAGCATTTCTGGTCACCATACCACAGGAAGGATATCCTTGAAAGGATGTGTAGCTTAGATTTACCAGAATGACACCTGGACTCCAAAGGTTAAATTTAAAGAGGGTACATGATGTAGGCCCTCATTTTTGCTAGGGTAGAGAGCATCTCCACTGTGACGAAAATAATGGAATCTCTGGAATTGCAAAGTGCAATTCAATTTGCAAGAAGGGCCATGTTGGATTTGACATTGATTTTTTATTTCTCTGTCCACAGATGCCGCCAGACCTACTGTGGTTCTCCAGCATTTTCTGTTTTTATTTCAGGTCTACAGCATCTGTAGTAGTTTGCTTTTATTTGGGATGGCTGCTTTGTGCTGGATAGTATTGAGATTCTTGAGTGTTGTTGGAGCTGCAAATCCTCAATTATCAATGAGTGGGCCTGAAATGTGAAGGGGAAAGTGTGGTAGGTGGAAGTGGGTGCTGTTGCCATAGGGGCATGAAGAGCCATGGGGTTTGGGTTGATAGACATGGGGTAGCATGGATGGGACACACATGAGGGGTTGAGAACAGGAGAATTGTTTTCTGTTGAAATCTTTATTTTTGTAGTTTGAGTGCAGTTCTAGAGCTTGTAGACAAGATTTTCACTAAGCCCATTTTGATGAGCAGGAACCCTTTTGGTCTCCTCCCTGGTCACATTGACCTGACTCCCAATCCAGGCCCTTCCCCCACCAGACCAGAAATCCAAAACTCGGGTGGCCCTTTTTAAATTTCAGATCATATAGCTGGGAGATTTTTGAAATTGCACTCCGGACCTGGGAACGAAAATTGGGACAGTGCCTGCATTTTGTTGAATTTTGAGGTTTAGGTGTGGTTTAATTTGAAATGGTCAAGAAGCTAAGTGGAACTGAGTTCCTCTTTATCTACCCTACCTCTGCTGATTTTTGGAATTTGGGTCCAGTCATTATTATTTGAAAATTAGAATTAGATCTTTTAGGGGTAACATTATGAAATTCTTCTACACAGAGTCAAAGGTTGGAAATCTCTTCTTCCATTGGCAATTCATGCTGAAATAATTGATCATTTTCAAACTAAGATTGATTAATAGATTTTAGTTAATGTAAAGTTATTAAGATATGTGGGGAGAAAGGCATGTTGATGGCACCAGGATGCAGATTGTGATCAGTGCTATGATCTCACGGAAAGGTGGAATGGGCTGAAGGAGATAAATGGCCTGCTATTCACATGGCTGCAATGTGTACCATCCACATGATGCACTGAAGCACCTCATGAAGTCCTTCAAATCTGCGATCTTTACCTCTAGAAGGACAAAAACAGCAGATGTATAGAAATACCACCATCAGCAAATACCCTTCCAAATCGTGCACATCCTGATTTGGAAATGTATGGCCATTCATTTATCATTGCTGGGTCAAAATCCTGTCACTCCCAACTAGTAGAACTGATGGACCGCAATGACACAAGAAAGTTCTTCATCACCACCTTCTCAAGGTCATTTAGAGATGTGCAATAAAAGATGCCCTTGCCTGTGACTCCCATAGTTCAAAGATGAACTAAAGCAAGGGAAAATGTAGCTCTGATAAATGTAGGATAAAACTTGCAACACTGCCTCAACAATTAACTTTAATCTCTCCTGGTAATGATTCTTACATTTATTACACTGTTGATTTTCTCAAGGTGAAATTGCTAAATTATTTTCAAATCGTTAATTTTGTGCATTGATAACGACTGATAACTACAACTGAAACTATCATTGTTTCCACTTCACATCTCTGTGGATGTACTTGCATGATGCGGACTGCAGTGATGTAGGTAACTCATTGCCATCTTCCTGAGGGCATTTCACAATGAGCAATAAATACTGATTTTTCCAGTAGAGCTCATAGTCTATGAATGTGGATAAAGATATGAGTTCACCCTGTTCTGGATTTAAGATGTGGTATCTGAAGATTGAAAAAAAACATTCTTGTAAGCGGTCAAATCCCTTAGTCAATTAGTTGCCCAGTTTTCAGAACTTTGTTTTCCGTCAACTCATCTGATTTGCATATAGAGGAATAGTACAGCATCTAATGAGCAATGCTAAGGCTAAAAGCTAGATTATGTTTCTTTTTCTTTTTTTTTTAGCTGTGTTTACAAGTGTGTGTGCCAGCAGCATTCAGAACAGATGTACTGTGACCTCATCACAAAGATAACCATTCACTTAAGACGAGTCTCAGAGGAGCTGCAGGTACTATTATACTGGATATCTGTTGTTTTCTTTGCGTACCTGCTATACATTTTCTTGGGCATTATTTTTATTATGATAGTGGTGGTTATGGTAATAAATCTATGCAGTTATTTCCCTGGTTAAAACCTGAGACTAAGGGCCTTTCACACGATGATGTTAATATTGAGCCTCTGTACCTGTACCCAATACGTTGAGAATTGTACCAACATAAGCTATTCTTATCTTGATATTGCCAGTTGGATATTGGACCGATCAGTTTTTATTAGTCAGTGTTCATTGTTGTAAATGCTTTGCTTTAATTAGTCCAAGCACCATCAGCTAGGAAACTTTTGAAGGGTAAATTTTGTTAATCCATAGCCTTTGCTTAACTTCACATTCTTGTGTGTGTGAGAAAAGAGAACCGATCGTAGAACCAATTGTAAGAACAATTTCCTTTCAAATAAAGTCTTTTGTTACCTCAGGATGGCTGAAAGTAATTTGCGAAGAGGGTGGTCACTGTTGTAGTCAGTGTGGCAGCTATTTTGTGTTTAACTAGTGTCCGCAAACTGCAGTGTGATAGTCACCAGGTAATTTGTTTTGTGATGCTTGTTTGAGGGGTGCCATTGGCTTGTGCATCGGGAATAACTTTCCTGCTCTTCTTTGAAACGGGCAGTGGTAGTTTTTTTTAACATCTGCTTGAAAGGCTAAGCAGGACTTCAGTCATTAAAATGATACTAAAAATGGCACCTCCAACAATGCTGTGGTAGAATGTCAGCCTTGATTTTCATGTTGAAGTTCTGGAATTGGTCTTCAACCAACTTGGAGCTGAGATTGCTACCAATTGAGCCGCTGCTGGCATCAATTTCTGTTATGTGGTTAGATTGGTGAAACTGGAAATGTAATCTTTAGAGAAGTGAATGTTGAGAGGAGATATGACAAGGGTGTTCAACATTATGAGAGCTCAGGACAGAGTGGATAGAAACTCTTCCCATTGGTGGAAGGGTTACAATTCTGAGGGCACAGATTTAAAGTGATTCATAAAAGAACCAGAGGTAACATGAGGAAAAGCGTTCTTGTATATTACTGTTCAGAATCTTGAATGCCCTTCTAGACAGTGTGATGGAGGATGATTCAATTATGGCTCACTAAAGAAAATTGGATAATTGTTGGAAGAAAAAATTTAAAGGGCAAAGTCAGGGATTGAGTCCCACTGAGTAACTCTTAAAGAAAACTGATATGGACATTAGCTGACTGGCTTCTTTCTGTGCTGTTACCATTCTGTGTTTCCTTTTTATCTATCTTTAGAGGCCTGGTTAAGCAACATCTTGCTTTTAAAATTCTCCATCTCGTTTTCAAACCCCTCATGGTTTACCCTTCTCTGTAATTTTGTAACTTCCTGCAGCCTACAATCTCTGATATGTTCACTTAATTCTGGCCTCTTGAGTCTGCTCACTTTTATTTGTTCCACATTGGTCGTCACAATTCAGTTGCCCAAGCCCTAAGCTCTGGAATGCCCTTTCTGTATCTTTCTACCTTTTGTATTTCACTTTTAAAACCTACCTTATTAACCAGATTTTGGTCAAATGTCTTAATTCTTCTCATGTGGCCTGGTGTTACTCCAGTTTCATGTTGCTCCTGTAAAGCACCTTGGCATATTTTATTGCTTTATGCAGGCTATGTACACCTAAGTTGTTCTATTTAAATAAATTACTTTGTGCAGTGTATTTGAATAATTTTGAAACTGTGAGATTGTTGTTATGTACCTGCGAATTGATGCTTGAGTGAAATTTTAAAATCTGATTGTTGTCTTCCTGAACAACAAATCATTGTTGATAATTGTGGACCCCATTGATAGGTTTCTGCGATAAAAGATATTTGTTTACTGTTCTTTTTGCCTCAAATCATTGGTTTGCCAGTACAGCTAGGATTCCAGAGAATGGGTCATTTTCATTTGTGGCGATGTCATCAACAGCATGAGCTTCCCATCAGTGCATAGCATTGACGTAAAATTAGGGTTTCATCCCATCAGCCAGTGCAGAGTTTCAAACTTCGCCATCCTCATGCTCCTTGTATGACTGAAACCTTTTGTGACTAAAGAAAGATATGAGAATGAAGTGTAGCGGTAGTGCAAAAATGCAGTCTGTTGTAGAGAGTGTTTAAACTTGATTACAAAGGATGCTTCTGAGGTAAGGACTTTTCTTTCCTCAATTATTTAATTAAACAAAATTCCTTTTTTTTTTCGGATAGTCATCTTGCAAAAAATCCAATCTAGGTAAATGAGTTATAGGTGAATTGGGAAGCCCAATGTCGCTCAAAGTAATTCTGAATCCCTGTTGTTATAGGCGGGGAGTTGCTGGTATCACTGGTACGTCCCAGATGCAGCTCATGCCTGTGGCACACAGTCCCACATAAGCAATTATTGAGGAAGATTAAAGCGAATGGGATTGGGAGAAATGTATTGAGATGGATAGAAAACTGGTTGGCAGAGAGAAGACAAAGAGTTGGAATTAATGGGTCGTTTTCAAATTAGCAGGCAGTATCTAATGGGATGCCACAGGGATCGGTGCTGGGACCCCACCTATTCATAATATATATTAATGATTTGGATGAGGGAACAAAATGTAACATCTCAAAGTTTGCAGATGATACCAAGTTGGGTGGGAAGGGTGAACTGTGACGAGGATGCAGAGATCCTTCAGCAAGAACTGGACAAGTTGGGTGAGTGAGCAAATCAATGGCAGATGCAGTATAATTTGGATAAATGTGAGGTTATTCACTTTGGTAACAAAAAACAAGAAGGCAGATTACTACCTGAAGGGCTGTAAATTGAGAGAGGAGAGTGTGCAGCGGGACTTGGGTGTCCCTGTGCACCAGTCACTGAAGGTAAGCATGCAGGTGCAGCAGGCGGTAAAGAAAGCAAATGGTTTGTTGGCCTTCATTGTGAGAGGTTTTGAGTACAGGGACAGGGATGTGTTGTTGCAGTTGTATAGGGCCTTGATGAGGCCACACATGATGATGTGCAGTTTTGGTCTCCCCTAGTGAGGAAGGATGCTCTTGCTGTCAAGAGTACAGCGAAGGTTTACCAGGCTAATTCTGGGAATGGTGGGACTGACGTATGAAGAGAAATTGACTAAGTTAGGATTGTTTTCTCTGTGGTTCAGATGAATGAGGGGGTTATAGAGACTCATAAAATTCAAACCGGACTAGACCGGGTAGATGCAGGGAGGATGTTCCTGATGGTGGGCATGTCCAGAACCAGGGGTCACAGTCTGAGGATTCGGGGTAGACCATTTAGGACAGAGGTGAGGAGACATTTCTTCATCTAAAGAGTGGTGAGCCTGTGGAATTCATTATCACCAGAAGTAGTTAATGTCAAAACATTGACTATATTCAAGAGGCAGCAAAAAAAGCACTTGGGGCGAATGGGACCAAAGGTTAATGGGAGAAAGCAGGAGTAGGCTATTGAGTTGGACAATCAGCCATGATCACGATGAATGGCCTCTTCCTGCTCCTATCTTCTGTGTTTCTGTGTTTCTCTGGGTGAGCTGGTACCAATTTTCAGTCGAGTCTGACGGGGAAAAGAAGAGAGAGTAACAGAGCATGTAATGGCCAGATTGAATTTAGACCCCAGATTCTGGTCTTATGAGTACTTTCTCTATATCTAATATTAACCTATAATTAAAGAGCTTAATTCATTTGATATTTGGATTTGGGGATGTCCCAGATCTTAACTCATGATTCATGTTTAAGGCATTGTTCTTAATTTGAACAGCAGTAAGAACACATATATTACAACAGTGAACCCTTCAATCACATATTATAGGCTGTAAAAAGTTTTAGAATGCCCTGGGGTTGAGGAAAATGCATATAAATGCTTTTTAATTGGCATCAGCATCTTGGATGAAGAAGAATATTGGCTAATATTTATGTTCCTGATTTGTGTCCAGTATCTCATACCCTTTTATAAGATCATGAACGAACTGTCACAGGCCTCAGCTCTTCAAACCCCTCAACTCTTCGACTATTTCAAAAATCTAACTACCTCCTCTAACTATTTTGTGATCCAGCCTCCACAGCTGTCTGGCATAGAGAATTTGATGCATTCATGACCCTCTGGGTCAACTTATCTGTATCCCCTTGCAGATTCCTTATATCCTCAACGACACATCCTCCCACCTAGTTTTATGTTTCATCAGTAAATTTCAATACATTATACTGTGGCCCCTCCTCTAAATCATTAACGTAGATGCTGAATAATTGAGGCCCAGGTTTTATCCTTGTGGCATTAAACATGTCTTTCCAACCTAAAAAAAAACCCATTAATCCCGACTCTGTCTTCTGTGTGTTCCAAATCCTTAATCTAGGCTAATAAATTACCTGTAATACTGTGAGCCGCCTTCTCCCAGTCTCTGAAGAAATCCATCCAGAAAGGCATCCATCCATCCACTGGGCCAGCCAAATGCTTAGGATGCCTGAGTTCTCACTGATAAAGCAAATCTTCTTTGCCTAGCTCAAGGGAATCGAACAAGATGAGGACAAAGGAGGTGCTTCAAAGACTCCCTGAAGGCATACCTCAAGAAATACAGGATAGAAATCAATGCTTGGGACACCCCAGCTCAGAAGAAACAAATGGAGGAACTTCCTGTCTGAAGGGAAATGTAACTTCTAACCAAACCGTAGAACAATGGAATGATGTTCACTGTTCGACAACTGGGAGAAATGTCTGGAACAACATCGACCACTCCATATGATCTTTGTTAATCTGACCAAACCTTTTGATTCAGCCAGTTAAAAAGTGCTATGGAAGACCCTGTGAAAGACCGGTTGTATTGAGAAATTTGTCAGCACCCTCCATCTCCTCCACGACAAGATGCTAACGATGATCCTCACTGATGGGAGTATAATAAAAACCTTTTGAGGTCATGACTGGAGTCAAGCAGGGATATATTATCAACCCCATCCTTTTCTCCACTTTCATTGCTACCATCCTTTGCCTTGTCAAGAACAAGTGGTAAGGACAT